TGTAGTTTTTTATCTTTATCTTTATCTAGACAAAAAAGAATTTATCTGGGCTCAACACTGGTAGGTAAGTATTTCTTTTAGATGAACTAATCACAGATTGTTATCGATCGTACTTTAATATCATATAGCTTATTTAACTTTCGTAATTAAAATATTATCGAAATATAATAGCATATAATTATTACGATATTTCCGAATGCAACAGTCTGATATCAACTATTGATWTATTAATACAAAAACAATTAAGACTTAATTTCAAGTGTTAAAACGATATGAAATTATAAAAGGTACCTGTGTACCTATAGTAATTTAGTTATACAATATGTATACGTTATTAGGTAGGTACTTTAAATTAAATTTTCTCAAATTAATTGATAATAGTATTACGGACACTCGATAACCTATAAAAGTTTGAAAAATGAAATATTGTAGTATGAACATCGACGATATACTTAACGGTACCTACTTGACTCGATAGACGTAGGTACGGTATAAATAGTCGGTGATTAATCACGTCAAACTCACTGGTTGCCGTTGTAACTGCCGCAACGGATACTTTTTTTAGTTTACCATAGTTTTTAATGATTATTTTCCAGCTAAACGATGGCTCGAATCGTTATTTTGTTGTCCGTCGTATTGATCGGCGTGTATCAGACCGAACAAGCGTATTTCTTGGAGAAAAGTTACATCGACAGGATCAACGAAGTAGCAAAAACCTGGACGGTATCTAACTAATAACTAAAACTATGTGATAATAATAATAATAATAATTGATAATATATCTATACCTACTTAGTATATTTTAGTAAAGTAATGAAATGTGTAATATATACATAACATGATGTATGCTGGATCATTGAAGTGATATTTAGATTTACGCCCAACTTTACGTTTTTGCTCCAGAATTTATAATTTTTATCTTGACTTTATGACAGTTGTCAAGAGTCCAGAGGCGGACTGGGTAGGCACCGGCCCAGTTGGAAAATTTTGGAAAGCGGCCCAAAACATAAAAAAATAGCTCTCACTACATTCGAAAAATGTCCTATAAACACATAATAAAATGTATCATTATATTAATAAAAACATATGTCATAAAAAATATTATATTCTATTAGCTAGAAAAAATTCAATTATGATGATTACATTAGTTAGACATAATAATGATAGTCTATTTTAGTGAGCTTTGGAATTAAAATGTTAACGCATTGATGATTGTTAAATCGTATGATTGGGAAATACATAATAGAAAGTAAAAAAAAGAATATTTTTAAACTAATTTAATTGTATTTGTATTTAAAATATATACTTAATTAATAGGTAGTACAGAATAATCAAAAACTAATATTTATGTCAACATCTTGTTCTTTTTCTACACTCATCATCATGAATGCTTCCAGTTTTTCTTGTTCTAATGTAGCTCGCAGCCTTGTTTTAATAAGTTTTAACTAACTGAAAGCTCTTTTGCAATTTAATTGAGTAAAAGATAGTGTCAACGTATACTCATATGCTAAAAATATGTTGGTATACGGCATACGCAATAGGATGCATATTATATTTATACAACATTTTATAACAACAGATTAAACATTGATTACATAGGTATTATAGGTATATTACATAACCTAACCTTCAATAATTGTATGTTTTGATTTAATATTAAGATTTTCTTCATCTTCATCATATAATAGTTCATTATTTCATATTGCGGTAGTTAGTGGTAGCTGTCATTTTCTGTGGTCGTGGGGTCTTCCTCTCTTGAGACGACGAATTTTTGGAGAGCTTTTGTGTAAGTTATAGTGAACAGCATCATTTGAGTTCGTAAGTGAGTGAAAGAATCTGTTTGTTATATGGTTTATGTGCTCATCGATAGTAGGGATTTTCAAGTCATTATGCAAGACTTTGTTGCGTACAAACCAGGGAGCATCTGTTATTATGCGGAGTATTTTGTTTAGATAAATTTGAATTTTGTTTAAGTGGCTTTTAGCACAACTGCCCCACATAGGACTTGTGTATAAGATTAAAGGTCTCAGTACTTGCTTATAATTTATAAATAATAAGTGAACATTTTTTACTAATAGTTGATTTCCATTTTCCTATTTAAAATTGGAAAGAGAACCCCTAGCCGTTGGTATTCTTGCTGGAGTTTGGCCAAATTACTGCCATAAACTCATAAAAATAACTACACACTCCACAGAACTACTTTCTCAGCTACACAAGATAACTTACTAAATCTATAGTCCGATTATTTATTGCTTATCGAATCATGAATGAGTGCCATAATATTATCAAAATACATTATTGGAGTTGTTGACTATCTTTTAGGGAAAAACCGTGATTGTTGTTTTTAAAACAGCTGCGTATTACTACGAGTTTATGTTCTTGTTTAGTAATTTTTCTGTTATCTGTACTAAATACCGTAATAAGCGTTCTGTTTTTTCATCTTTCACCACTTCCATAATAATATCCAATAACAAAAAATACCTACACTATAAATACACAGAGCGGCCCAGGGGGCATTTGCACCTGCCCACCGGCCTAGTTCTCCCCTGGTCCCCTGGTCGAGACTATAGGTATATACGATTAGTTAGATTGCTATTATATTATGGTACTATTACAATCATCTATTATGAAATCTTCAATGGTCAGTCACTTAAAATTTTTTCCCGATATGGAGAAAAAAATGGTGAAATAGTTAATCTTAAGTTATCTCATTTAAGACGGTTGCGTTTCATAAATAGTATAGAATTTTCGATTTTATTTTTTTAATGTCAAAAATAAAAATTTTAAATAAAATATAACTTTTTTTTGAAAAATTCTAAATTTGTAAACCTGGTTTCAAGAAAACTTTTTACTGTAAAAACATTTACCTAGGTCAAGTGGTTGATTTTTTATGATTTTTTTTAAATATCCGATTTTTCGAAATAAGACTCATTAATTCTGAAAAGTAATACATTATTAGGTATATAAACATTTAGATTTTAACAAGTACAATTCAAAATACTCATAAAACATTTAAAAAAAATTATGAATTTTGAATTTAAAATGTTTTTTAAGACCGAAACCTAACATTTCATTGAATAATGTGATTCTACAATCAACATTTCTCTGAATACTAGATTTACAGATTGATTATCTTAATTTTTTTTATTTTCAGTATTAAAAAGTAAAAATAAGGAGTGTTGTACTATGTATTTATAAATGATCTATTTAAAAATATTGATTATACCAAAAGTTATTTTATTTGTCAAGTTTTCTTGTTATATCCCGTATACCTTATATTCAATTTATCATTTGTATTATTAATTTAAATAACTAGGTACGCTAACAGTTTTGGGTGGTCAAACGATGTATTTAATGTGATAATACATTGTTCAATCAATAAATATGAAGGTAATTAAATTAAGAATTTTATTTTAAAATAATTCAAAATACTTCTTTGTATAACGAAGTTTGCTGTGATGAGACTCATAATTCTCACAAAACTAATATATCACGAGTTAGCAATTCAGCTTAAATTCCATATATATATATATATATATATATATATATCTAATATAAAACTAATAAACACTAATAACCAAACTAAATGATATATTTCAGTTCTGAATTAATACATTTTTAGATTCTGATAGGAGAGATGAATGTATTGTATTTTACAACGTTGTATTTTTTTCTTGTTTTACACGATTTCTAAAATTTTATTCTTATTTTATATATTTTTTTTCATTTATTTCAATATTTAAACTTCAATATTTTTTCTGGAAGAAAGGCTAATGTAGTTGGTACTTTTGAATTTTTGATATACTTTACATAGGTAGGCAGGTATATTTTTTTTCATAAATATGAAATTCCATTTTCAAAATATTTGGATTAATATTGTATGTTATTGCCTAATTATGTATATACTTAGAACCTGTTCACACAATTCAATAGTAAGGTGGTATTGACTCAAAAGTTATAACAATATAGTTTATTATTAGGTATCTATAATGATTCAACAATGAAGTATAGTGCAATTAGCCCAATTACTTTAATAAAAAGTAATCCAATAAAGTTGTTTCCCAACTACTTATATATTATGTTCATGGGAAATATTCATTGCCTGTTTTTATAACAAAAATAATTGATAATGAATTGATTAATTTTACTCTAGATTATTATTTTTTTTTTTTAAATTCAAGTCTTATTTAGAAATTTCTAGTCAGATGTGTTATCATTTACCATGTTTTTTAAAAAGTTAGGTGTATAGGCATGGGCGCTCATAAGTAACTTTTCAGGATAGGGCAAAATAACAAAATCCTCAAATTTAAGCTAAATAGAGATTTAATGTTTTTGCAACATATAAATATAAGTATGCTATTATTTATAAAATTAATATTTGTATGGTAGGTATATAATAATTAATTAAAATACATTTTAAAAAGTGCAGGTACTATTCAAAAAATAGAAAAAATATAATCAAATGTGTAATTCGGTATCGATAAATAAATACTGCAAATTTCTTTGGTTTATTTCAAAAATATTCATGACATCTTGAATGAAACTACTTTGTTCAATTTCACTTTTTCACGATGAACGTTCGTCATACACAAGAAATTATTTCATATCCTAAAAGTTGAAAATTTTATTTTATGTTGACAATATCATGCTAATACTTATTAAATTATAAGTTCATATAATATTTTATATGGGAAAGCACCCCGTCTTGCCCCCTCCCTCAATGGGCGTTCATGTGTATTGGTACATAACATGTTTTTAACAAAGGCTAAATATAGACTGTAATTAGAGTATCCATTTGAATATCTATTTGACCAACATGGTCAAATATAAAACTTCATAAACATATATAGGTATATATTAATATATAATATACCTTATTAAGTCAGTAAAAATTACAAAATGTCTTGTTTTATTAGTGTATAACCTGTTGAATGATCATATGTATATATTATTTTAATGGAATTATAAATGTATCATTTAATAATATATACTTAATATAGGTTGATAAACCGTCGACCCCAGAATCCTGTTTCGTATGCAATAATTTATCATCGAATTTAAATTTAACATGATAAAAATATAATACTGTGAAAATAAAATATGTATATTGGTACATTGATGAGGTACACTTGACACCTAATGTATATAGCAGAGTGCTTACATACTTTCCTATTTATATTATATTTTTCAAAATTTACTTGTCATTAGTATAATTTACATTTAATACGCATATGTTTGTAATGCAGACATTTAAAACTGTAAAATGTAGAAATTTTTTTATAATATTAGAAGATTTAATGACTTAAGTGTTGAAATGTATTTAATCATTCACCGTATATTTGAGAAATTGGTAAAGTTTGATAGAAAGTTTTAATCTAGATGGGTGGTTGGGGGCAAAAAATTTAGTATATAGACTTTTTTCTAGCATTGAGAACCAGAAGAGAAACTGTTTGCATTACTTCTCATCCGGCTAAATGCATAGACTCAGGAAAAAGATACAATAGCAATTGAATTATATTTTATTATAATATTAATTTGTGTATAATTAATAATTATATACAGTACTATCGTGAATTATTTTATAAAAACAAATAATAGAAATAAATATATACAATACATATAAATATAATAATATAAATTATGATCAATGTTAATCGACTTTCGTTCGATGCACTTTAACTAGGCTGGTGTTAATTTTAACCCGAATACACCAGAAGAGCACTTCGTTAAGATGTTAGGATCTATAGGGGTGGAATCTGCCAAGAAAGCGAGTATTGATATGTTCAAAACGAACGACGACGCTTACGACAACGATTCCGGTAATATCCCGAGGTCATTCGACGCCAGGAAGAAGTGGAGGCATTGCACAACGATTGGAGAAGTTCGCGACCAAGGAAATTGCGGTTCTTGTTGGGTGCGTTAAACGGCTAACTCGCGTCGTTGGATCTAGATCGTAACTTACACATTAATATTATATCTGTAGGCGTTCGGAACCAGCTCAGCGTTTGCCGATCGTTTGTGTGTGGCTACTAATGGAGATTTCAATGAACTGTTGTCCGCCGAAGAGTTAACGTTTTGCTGTCACAGTTGTGGTTTTGGTTGTCATGGAGGAGATCCGATCAAAGCCTGGAAATATTTCAGAAAACACGGTTTGGTCACAGGAGGAAATTATGAATCTAATGAGGTAATTATATGTATATTGTGTATATTGGCTGTAGTTTTAAGTTTGGAAAAACATAGGTATATTACCTATATTCTTTGCACATTGTCGTAGAGTTTAATTTCCATTATTTAATCATTTATCCTGTAAAATTATCCAAATTTTCGATGGTTCTTCAGGTTTTTTTTAGAAAAGCCTTTTTCGGAAATTTTAATCTCTAGTATCTAGATATAAATGTATAAACGATTGTTGCGTAATGTATATATGTATTCCAGGGATGTGAGCCATACCGAGTTCCACCTTGCCTTGTAGACGATGATGGAAATAATACATGTGCTGGTAAGCCAATGGAAAAAAATCACAGATGTACTAGAATGTGTTATGGAGAACAAAACATCGATTATGACCAAGATCACAGATATAGTATAAATTATTTTGGACATGTTTATGATTTTCAGACAAAATACGTGTTTAAACTTTACAATTTAATCATGATTGCAGCACGGGACTACTACTACCTTACTTACAACACAATCCAAAATGACGTTATGACTTACGGACCAATCGAAGCAACGTTTGATGTGTACGACGATTTCCCCAATTACAAGTCCGGTAAATGTATGAATAGGTCATGATAATAATATTATATCGTTATATTATGTTAAAATCTCGCATTTAGCATTGTATTCAATCGAAATATTATTACAATTATTGTATTGTAACCGAAATTATAATCTTGATATTAATTTCTATGATGGCTTTTAGGTGTTTACGTGAAAACCGATAATGCCTCATATTTGGGAGGTCACGCTGTAAAGTTGATCGGCTGGGGCGAAGAAAGAGGAACTCCGTATTGGTTGATGGTCAACTCGTGGAACGATCAGTGGGGCGACCAAGGTCTTTTTAAAATTAGACGAGGCACAAACGAATGTGGTATCGATAATTCCACAACCGGTGGTGTACCAATGACTAACTAACATATAATTTTAGTACTAACCAATATGAGCACTGACGTAATACTTTATTTTAGGTTTAAATAAAATTATTTTTATATTATTCTATAATAGTTTGTTTTGAATGATTTCTCAGCGGACATGTGAAATATGATAGGGTTTTTAATCTTCTAATATATAAAAGCGAATGTATGTCCAACCGCAATGGAACATGCTGTTCCTCGATAACTTCCTAAATCATTCCTTCATAGGTTTTTAACATATTATATGCTGGTGGATTACAATCTGAATTTGTTTACACCGAAACTGATTGAACCAAAAACAATATAACGTCATATTATTTATTAATTAATCTTTTTTTCCTGGACGAAGTCAGGTCATACAGGTATATCAAAAACCACTGGATTGCATCTCATTTGCCGTAAGTTGTAGTAGAAAATAAAAACAACAAATTTGGTATAAATTTAAAACTTTAAAGTTGGAAATAATACACTTTCGTTCGCACTCGTGTATTTTTAAGCTTGAACACCGTTACACTGAAAATAAAATTACCAATTTAACAAAATCTTAATAACATAGAATTATGATAATACACAAAAATATAAATACATATATGATAATAAAATGAAATTCTACATTAAAGATTGTCGATGGTTCAGAGTTTTTCATTGAAGGTCTATAACATTAATATAATTTTTAGCTAAATTATTTAAAGTTTTGATTACATTTGCATTAATGAGGATCTGCGATACACTTATTTAAGAGTACTCTAAGAGTTTCATAAATGGTCTGTATTACATTTTCAAATGTTCTGGTATGATATCATCTGATATTTTTATATTGTTAAGAGGTAAGAAAATAGAGTTATCTAAATATTCTTTATGTATTACATAATTCGAAGAGGTAGTTAACTTTCACACGCCCGAGATTTTAAAATACTTTTGAACAATATTTGTGGTTTAAAATTAAAATTTCAATAGAATCTACTGCACACAAAAAAAAAATTCGCAAAATAAGTTTTCAACAAAAATCGATTTTGTATTGTAATTTAAAATCAAATAGTCGTTTGGACTTGAAATGTTCAACAAACGTTTTTATATGCGATCAAGGATATTTAACTACAAAAATTCCTCTTCCCTGTTTATTTTTATTAATTAAATCTTATTTATGTGATCTTCATTTCCAAATCCAGTTAGGAACTTTAGAATACAAAATTGAGAAAATCTTAGCTGAAATTCCCCAGGGTTTTCTCTCTCCCTTTCTTTTCAATATCTATACCTCTGATCAACCTATCTCCCAAAAAGATATTGTAACCGATTACACTGACGACAAAGTTATTATATCACTTGACAAAATCCTCTTTCTGCCTCAGCGAATCTTCAATCTCAACCTTATGTCTAAATCGTACACCGATTGGCGCATTAAACCTAATCCCAATAACTCAGTGCATTCAACAGTCAAAGTTTGCTGTAATTATACTTGTATCTAAACCAAATAAACCTATAAACACTTATCTTCATCATACCACCCCATAAGTTTACATTCAGTTCTTGGTAAACTTTTCGAAAAGGCCCTAATGAAAAGATTACGTACCATCCTTCAAAATAACCAAATCATACCAAATAATCAGTTTGAATTTCGAAATAGGCACTCAAAAATTCATCAAGTTCATCGTCTTACTGACGAAATTTCAACTGCTCTAGAAAACAAAGAATACTGCTTCGGACTTTTTTTAGATATTGCCAAAGCATTTGTTATGGTTTTTACGCACAACACAAAAATAAACGTACGCACCAGTTTAATATTAAAATAATGTATGTATTTTTATTAAACTGTAAGTAAACAATTTAAGTATAGCTACAAATATTGAATCGAACACTGGTTATTTTACGACTAATTTTACAATAGATTTAAAAATGCTCGGGTTTAATATACGTTAAGAATAATGCTCGGACTAACTACGACTGACTGACTCCCTGTGTGTTGTCGAGACGGTGCACCATGTCACATCAAAACCCTTATTCAGCGGTTCCCACGGTACGACACACACTGAATATAAAGAAATGTCTCTATAATTAATGTATGAATATATAGATGTATCAAAATCAACTGTGTAATAGTCATGGGTTCTTAACACATTTGATAGTTCGGCACGTAGGGTTACTATACAAATTAAAACTCTTCATGCCAGCTCCCTACTATCTTATCATCAAATCTTATCTGCAAAATCGTTAAATTGTCGTACGTTAGGGTAATGATATCTCATCTACTCACTCAATATATGCTGGAGTCCMGTTGGGTAGTGATTTATCCCCTGATCTATACAATGTATTCATAGCTGATATTCGTCAATCTAGTAACACCCTTCTAGCAACATACGCTGATGACACGGCTATTCTATCCTCCAGTTCAAATCCTAACTTAGATTCAGGACCATGCTAATAAAATTKACGAATGGGCCAAAAAATGGAAAATTAAAATAAATACAGACAAATCTGTGCTAGTTATTTTCACTTTAAAACAGTCTCCCTGTGAGTACCCTCGATTAATTACGAAGAACGTCCCCATTCCAGTCCGAACCCAAATAAAGTACTTAAGTATAACACTTGATAAAAGATTAACCTGGGGCCTCCACCTAAAATAAAAAAGAAAATCAGCTAACAATCGACTTCACCTCCTCCGACATTTCCTCAACTCCAAAATACCACTCCAAAACAAACTTAGTATAATATTATATATTTAAAGGACTGTAAAAAAGTGTAATTGTTAGAGTTGATCGTTTTGTATTTCTTTATTCTGGAAAAACAATTAATTCCATACATTACAATTTTGTTACAGCTTTAGATTATATTATTATATTATTTATGAATACAAAGTAATAGTTTGTAATATTTTTGTAAAAATCCTGTAAAAACATGTAAAAATCTTAACATTTTAATTTTGAGTTTGAAAACTCTAAAAATTCCCAAAAATACTAAGATAATAAGACAACGAAAAATGACTGTAGAATTTAAGATTTGTCAAAAAAAAAATGAAAGGTTTAAAACGATCTTCGAGTAGCTAAATTGGAAAACAATGCAAAGTGCATCGACATCTCAGCTTTAATTATAATAATATTACATATTAAATATTATTAATATACTATAATATAAACACATTTGTCGATATTCTACTGAATAATACACACGTATTTCACTATTTTGTCGTTCAGATAACGGTTATTTACGCTTTTTTTTTCGAATAGGCTAGCTTTGAGATTATGCCATATAGGTATTATGGCTGTCCGTTTGCGATTTAATACATTCATATTATAATATACAGTTTATTATAGAATTATACGGTTTCAATAGATTTAAAACGTATTTTAATGATCCAAATAATTTTAACATTAAGTACGCGCACATAATATACTGTTTATATGTGGATATAAAATTGTATTATTTTGCTTGCCTCTCTCAACGCCGATGATGCGAGTTACACGGAATTATATTATAAACACATAATAATATGTGCTCCTGTAAACCATAATAATATATAGTAGCCAGTGTTGTAATGTATTTGAGTAAAAATGTATTTAAATACTTTTATAGAGTTTAAATACTGTCTTGGACGTTTTGTATTTTAAAAATCAAATACTTTTGAAAATTCAAACACGAATTATTGACAAATACGTCAATTGTCACATATTATTTATTTTTTTGTATTTTTTCGTTCATAAATGTTGAGAACCCTTGTTCCTAATCACCTGTGCCTGATTCGTTTGTATTAATATTAATACCTATAATTACAAAATTTTAATATTTGATTAATAAGTGTTTATTGTTAAACTACGTACATACCTGGGCTACCTGGCAACCTAATATTAAAGCATTTCTACAATATAATATTTTATTTATTTTAATTTTTCAGTGTTCATTTAAGTAAATGGTACATATATTTCAAATAAGACCTAATTGAATGTAACATTACAATTTTAAATTAGTAAATACAAAATTTAAATATAAATTAATTAAATAAATAATATTAATTTGGCTAACTGACAAGTAGAAAAGTATTTGTAAAGTATACATTCAAAGTATTTGTATTTTAAACACTTTTTCTTAAAATTATTTTAGATGTATTTTAAATACTTTCTGAATGGATGCATTTGTAGGTATCTGTATTTAAATACAATTTCAAAAGTAGGTATCTTTTACAAGACTGACAGCAGCTGTTTTTAACTTGTGGTCTAAATAGTTTTCACATAACATGCCAATACGTGGCATGACTACATGAGTGCATTATTACGATATTGTTGAATCGTTAGGTATTATTCATTTTTTCATATATAATATAACTTATTATATAAGTCATTATAGACCTATCTTATCTTTATTACATTGATGGCGAAATGTAATGGAATTCAATACAATTAATTTTACACGATGTCAGATAGGTACTATGCGTAGGTTGTAAATAGTTGAATATAAGATTGAAGTGAAAATGAAAAAGTTGGAACTGTTGAGTCACTGCCTATATTACAGAAAAATTTTCTAATAAAGATTCTAAATTTTTCATACTACTTATGGGGGGGATATTCATCGTAGCTTTGTTCCAAATATTATGTAAAAATTGGATTCGAATACCTTTTAAAATTGATATTCATCAAATAAATATACTGAAGTAGTGAAGTCATTGGAAGACAGCCTAGTAGACATTTTAATAAATAGTAATTTTAAAATACAATTCAATAAAAAACGTTTAGAAAATTGTTGGTTGCATGTTCGAAAAGGTTATCCACAATTATGATTGAGTAAAGCTTTGACAGGTTTAGTTTCATTCCCCACAACTTAAATGTGTGGAAACCTTCTCTACCCTTGTTTATATTAAGAATAAATTTCAAAGCCAAATAAAAAAAAGCGGGTAAGTCGTGGATGTCGCTCT